TGAAAGTTTTACAGTATGATCATTTAAAAGATTCCATCTCATAACGGTAACGGTAAATGTAATATTGCATTACGTATATTAGTATTTTCAATTTGTGTGTCGATAAGTGTATGCTTTGCATAGTGTATGTATTGAAACAGTATCGTAACAACAAACGCACTTAAGGCCGTTGATGGATGATATTTGGCAATCTATGCTGTGCATAAGTCTATTAATACTGCCTAAGTAGGCATATGCTGTATATATGCTGCGAAGTATATGTACTGAGGTAGTGTAGCCTCTAATGTTGGCGACAAGCATTTTCCTGCGTAATAATACCTACTGACCTGATTCGGACATTTATACTGCGCTGCATAGGTACTGACAACATGAACCATGAACCACGTACTGTATGTACTATAGTATATGCACTGCATGGTATACTTTTCAAATAGTGCCAGCACGTAGTAACATTTCGCATGTAAGATCAAGTAGTGGCATATTCATATAGTCGGAGTGTATGTGCTGTATATACCCAAGTAACCCAAATAACATAGCATATAATGGAAACCTTAACTATATTCATGCATAAGATCCCGTATATATATCATAATATTTTTGAGTATTTATTGTATGAGCATGCTAAATGTGGCCAGTAGGATATTAGTTTTAGCATTAGGTTCAGATTATTACTACTACATCAGACTATTTATGGAGAGTGGTGCTATGCTATAGAATATACATACAGCAAGTACTCTGTTTATACGCTGTAGCATACATTCTCAAGTAGTGCCATTACTTAATGGTGCTATTTTTTGATGCATACCACGTTATGTACTTTCATTCATATGCCGTGCTACTTTCTAAATATTTTCGCTATTTCTATGAGGTCTGTGGTCATCCACTACTGTTATGCAAATATGCAGACTGTACCGCATATACTCTGGTATTTTTGAGTATGTGCATCTTATCCAATAACAATGACGAGGCGTGACCTCCAATAGTACTGAATATTCGCACTGCTGTATACGCTTTTAAATATTACCAAAAAACAGTAGTTTAATGTGTTGTATGCTGATGTATAAAGCCTGTGATATAACTACTGCACATATTACATACCGCCGACAGGGTACAATCTGTCGTGCGTTGGTAGCGGTATGGAAAGTGAGCACACCTGAGGTATAATTGTACTCAATGGAAGACGGTCAGCCTCTAGGTTCTAAATAATTAGCGACGTTTCGGTGCATCACTCGCGGTGATTAGTTTGTCTAAGGTTAATGGGTTTGATAATGGGTACTTTTTCTCTTGTTAATGTCGATATCTGCACCAAACCTCATCGAAGATTCTACTCCACAAAAATAGACACCGGAAGATTTGAAGAAGTCTACAGACCGATTCCAGTTTGCTACACATCAGGTTTACAAGAACTTC